TCTTTCATTATGCAAAAAGGATTAATAGTGTAATTTATGTCACTTAAGTAATGATAAGATGCAAAGTTCAATGCAAGCTTTCAACATCTATAAATATTTTTTTACAAATAAAATATCCAACATAACATGGGATATACTTTTTTTCAAATTTATCATTCAGATGATAAATATTACATTTATGTTGCTTCAAACTATAGTAATAATAATATTGATGTAACTGGGCATCTATGCACCTTATATTTATTTCTTTTTTCTTTTTTCTTTTTTACTGCATCAATAAAGCAAGCCCTGATGGCTCAATTTCACATATAATTGTGTTTACTTTTGCATGATATTATTACTTTTTTATACTGTGGGTAAATGTTCTTTTGTTGATAAAATACTATGCTTCGGAAGAAATAATAATGAAATTTTTAAAATGCTTTGCTAAAATTATATGGTTAACAATTATTATACAAAAAAATTTTGATAACTATTGTTTTAATTCAAAGTAATTTAATAATAATTTTGCTAATTATTAATTATACCAACTTTGGCACAAAATACAGTAATAGTAGTAGGGAGAAATTTGATAAAGATTGGTAACAAAATAGCTAATAATACACCTATAACTATAAAAATCCAAACAAAAAAAATATAAAGATGTTTAAGTTTGCTACTCCATAATGTAATTGTTATCATAGTAATTTCAGCAAAAAAAATAAGGGAATTCAACACTATTTGAAATGTTTTCAACTTATCCTCATCATTTTTATAAATAGTTGCACTAAGAATAATAAGTGAAGTAAGAGTACTAATATAAAGTGCACCGTAAATTATTTTTTGTTCAAAGTCCTAACAAATAAGTCGTGATAGGAAACAACAAAGAAACTAAAACAGTATTAGTAAAAAATAATAACAACACATATGCATGTCTTTTAGCTAAGAGTTTTCCCTATCCACAATTGCTTGTATATAAATAAGTTTTCCATTATTGTCTTGCAAGGCATTAAATCTTAATCGTTCTTGTCTATTCAATCTATAAAAAACTTCTTGTTCTTCTTGATTGAGATTAAGGCCAGTGGGTATTTGGATTGGATTAGCCATTGTAATGGTGGTGGATATGAGAAATGGAAAGTGTTGGAAATACTTGTAATATTTTTTTATTACTTAATCAATCAATAGTTAATAAATATGGAAATTTGTGTAATGATTACGTAAGAATTTTTCTTGCCATCTGAGGATATTATTAATTGACAAAATCAGTGAGATGTTGATCATTTTGTTATTAGTCGCGGGACATTGCAGATCAAGTGTCATTCAATATAAACGTTACACGAATAAAATTATTATCGTCCAC